GAAGACCACTGCAGACCTCATGACGACTTTGTTAGGTATGTATGAAAAGCCTTTTGCAAATAACAAGATGCATCTGATGAAATTTTATTCAATCTGAGGATGGCAGATGGTATGTTTATTACCCAACACCTGAATGAGTTCAACAATCAATTATCATCTGTTGAAATTGAATTTGATGATGAGATTCGGGCTCTGATATTGCTGGCATCACTGCCAAACAGTTTGGAAGCCATAAGGATGGCTGTTAGTAATTCTGCTGGTAAGATGAAACTTAAATACGATAATATTCATGATTTAATTTTGGCTGAGGAGATGCATAGGAGAGATTCTGGCGAGACCTCGGGATCGAGTTCTGCTCTGAATGTTGACACTCATGGGAGGTCAAATGACAGAAACTCAAATAGAGGAAGATCAAAATCAAAGAACAGGGGTAAGAGCAGGACAAGGTCTGGACAGCAGGCGACTTGCTGGAATTATGGCAAGACCGGGCATATAAAGAGAAATTGCAAAAATCTGAAGAAAACGGAAGATGATGGCGCGAAAACAGTGGCTGAAGAAGTGCAAGATGCGCTACTACTTGCAATTCATAATCCATTTGATGACTGGATATTGGATTCAGGGGTATCTTTTCATACCTCCTCTCATCGAGAAATCATGCGAAACTATGTTGCCGGTGATTTTGGGAAAGTGTACTTGGCTGACGAATAGACACTAAATGTAGTGGGGATAGGAGATGTTGATATTACACTTCCTAATAGGAACATGTGGACCTTGCAGAAGGTTAGGCACATTCCCGAGTTAAAGAAGAATCTTATCTTTATGGGATAGCTCGATGACTGTGGCCACTCAGTAGTGTTCTCAAATAGTACCTGAAAAGTTTTTAAAGGAGCACTGGTGTTGGCCCGGGGCAACAAGATTGGTACTTTGTACATGACAAACAGTTCCAGTGATACTATTGCCACCACCACTATAGAGAGTACTGTAAAGTTATGGCATTGTAGACTTGGTCATATAAGTCAGAAAGACATAAAGGAACTCATGTCAAAAGGCAAGCTAGCAGAACTAAAAGCAGTTGATTTGGGTATATGTGAGAGTTGTATACTTGAAAAACAGAAAAAGGTCAGTTTCTTGAAGAGTGACAAAGCTCTGAAATCAGGAAAGCTGGATCTAGTACACGCAAATGTATAGGGACCCTCCCTCATGACATCTCTTGGAAGTTCCCGAAACCATGTCACATTCATTGACGACCATAGTAGAAAGGTACGAGTTTATTTTTTGAAACAGAAATCTGACGTGTTTGGTGTGTTCAAAAAGTGGAAGGCCCTAGTTGAGACAGAGACAAGCGTAAAGCTAAAATGCTTAAGGTCTGACAATGGTGGAGAGTACATTGATGGAGGATTCAAGGAGTATTGCATAACTCAATGAATCAGAATAGAGAAGATCATTCCTAGGACACCACAGCAAAATGGCATTGCTGAGTGCATGAACAGAACCATCAATGAGCGTGCTAGGAACATGAGGCTATACACAAGACTACCACTTACATTTTGGACAACAGTAGTGAACACTACAGTATACCTGATCAATCGTGGACCATTGGTCCCATTGGAGTGTGTACCACCTGAGGAGGCCTAGAGTGGGAAAGAGATTAAATTTTCTCATCTTAGTACTTTTGGTTGTGTTTATTATGTTCTTGTTGATGCTAATACTCGTAGCAAGCTTGAGGCAAAATCAATAAAATGCTATTTTATTGGTTACTGAGATGAGGCATTTGGTTATCAATTATGGGATGAGCAGAGTCAAAAGATCTTCGGGAGCTGAAACGTGGTATTCAATGAGAAAGCTATGTACAAGGACAAGTCCAGTACAGTTGGTGATACAACTCCTCAACAGTCCAAGTTTGTCGACCTACTAGAGGTCACAGTGCAGTGCTGGGACGACAGTAATGGTGAGAGTGGGTCCAGTGTGCCCATTCCCATTATTCGGCAATCAGATCTTGAACCATCCACACCTGCAGTAGCGACTCGGAAGTCTTCTAGGACTATCCGACCCCCACAACGATTCTCACCTATACTGGGTTACATTTTTGTTGACAGATGGTGGAGAACCGTAGAGTTATGAAGAAACTTTGCAAGATGAGAATTCAAGCAAGTGGGAGTTAGCCATGAAAGAGGAGATGGATTCCCTGCTAGGGAATCAGACATAGGAATTGACAGAACTTCCAGCTGGGAAGAAAACTCTACACAACAAGTGGGTATACTGTGTGAAGACTGAGCATGATAGTAGTAAGGGTTACAAGGCAAGGATAGTTGTAAAAGGTTTTCTGCAGAAAAAGGCCATTGACTACTCTGAGATATTCTCTCCTGTAGTGAAGATCACAACCATCAGGCTAGTGTTGGTAATAGTTGTTACTAAAGATTTGCATCTTGAGCAATTAGATGTGAAAACCGCGTTTCTTCATGGGGATCTTGACGAAGACATCTACATGCACCAGCCTATAGGGTTCACAGTGCAAGGCAAAGAGAATTTGGTTTGCAAACTAACGAAGAGCTAGTATAGTTTGAAACAAGCTCCTACACAGTGGTACAAATAAATTTGATAGCTTTATGTGTAGTTCAAGGTACATCAGATGTTAGGAAGATCATTGTTGCTATGTCAGAAAATTTGACAACTCTTACATCATTCTATTGTTGTATGTGGATGATATGCTTGTTGCAGGGTCAACATTGAGGAGATTAACAATATGAAGAAACAGTTGTCAAAACAGTTTGCAATGAAGGATTTGGGAGCTACAAAACATATCCTTGGAATGAGAATCATTAGAGACATATTCAAGGGCACGTTGAAACTATCGTAGGCTGAGTATGTGAAAAAGATACACAATAGATTTAACATGGACCAGGCCAAACCAATTGACACACTACTGGGTAGTCACTTCAGACTTAGCAAAGATCAGTCACCCAAGACAGAGGAGGAACATGACTATATGAGTAAGGTTTCTTACGCTTCAACTATTGGTTCACTCATGTATGCTATGGTCTGCACAAGATCGGACATTGCCCATGCAGTAAGAGTTGTGAGTAGATACATGAGCAACCCAAGAAGACAACATTGAGAGGCTGTGAAGTGGATTTTAAGGTACTTGAAAGGTTCCTCAAAAGCATGCTTGTGTTTCATCGAAGATAGTTTGGAGCTACAAGGTTTTGTTGATGCTGACTTGGCTGGAGACACTGATAGTAGGAAAAGCACCACTAATTTTGTTTACGCCTTGGGTGGTATTGTCGTGTCTTAGAGTTCCAACTTGGAGAAGACAGTAGCTCTTTCTATTACAGAGATTGAGTATGTTGCATTGTCAGAGGCTTTAAAGGAGGTGATTTGGTTATAGTGTTTCTTGGAGGAACTGGGTAAAAAGAAACAAAAGGGAACTCTTTATAGTGACAGTCAAAGTGTCATATTCCTCGCTAAGAATCTGACATTTAATTCCAGGACGAAGCACATTCAGATTAGGTATCATTTCATACAGTCCTTAATTGATGATGGTCAGTTTGACACTTGAGAAGGTATGTGGAACTAAGAACCAGTCAGACATGTTGACTAAGGGTGTTACTATTGAGAAGTTGAAGCTGTGTGCAACTTCAGTTGGTCTTCTGGCTTGAAGACAGGAGGATGAGTTACAGGAATGAGGGACTGTTCTTGGAGGATTCCGGTTTGATGTTGGTAATTGAACTAGTCTCCAAGTGAGAGATTTGTTGGATTTTTTTTGTGGAGTCTAGTTTGTGTTGATCTAGATGATGACCTGACCTAAAATAATGTGGCGTGATTTTTAATAAAAAATTTTCTAAGGCTTAATCTATCGACCTAAGCGTAGCGCTCATGGACAAGTCTCGTAGAGGTCACAGGGCAACGCTCTCGGGAAAATTTTTTTTTGCTTGTTTTGTAGCCTTATGCGCATCACATATATAAATTGTTATTCGATGATTAGGGTTTTGGATTTTGTACAGCTGCTGCCCTCTTTGTATTCTTTCTTGAGAATAGTGAAATTCCTGCAGTTTCGTGGACGTAGACAAAATGCCGAATCATGTAAATTTTGTGTTGTGTGATTGTTTGAATTATATTCTTATCGTTCTTTCAATAATTTCACTTTATTGTCACCATTTGATTTCACAACATAAACGAGATCTCATTTGTTAAATTTTTATTGCACAAATAGTAATTTTTTTTTCAATTACCTCAAAATTGAAGTGGAAAAAATAAGTCAATGGAAGCCATGTTACATCCATCATACAAGAGAGATGAATGGCAAGTTAGGGGTAAGAAATATAACCAAAATAATCTGTTTATCAAATATTTTTACCAAAATTTACTTTAGAGCAAATTATACTTACATTTCTGAACCATATCCCTCATTTTCACATTATCCTTTTATGTTCCATTTGACAAGAAGGATGAAAAGTATAAGGGATAGAAAATAGAAGAGATACATTTTCTATCTTTTAAGGAATGAAAGTTGGAATAATATTTTTTCCTTCATTTGTGTATGATAAGATAAATGAAAAATAAAAATAATTAATTTTTTTTTTGTATTTGGTAAGATGAAATTTTTTTTAAAAAAATTTTTAATTTTAAAAAAATATAAATACATATTTATCATTATATTGATATATGAAATTAATGTATACATAATATATGCATATATCAAAGGATATATAGATAAATAAGATACATTTCAACACAAATAATTAACTTTTCTTTTAATTTTGAAGGGATTTATTTTAATGAGTTAGAAGGAAAACTCATTAATCCATTTTTCCATCATTTTCATTTTTTTTTCTTATCAAACATGATGTTTTATCTATCCCTCTAATTTTTTTTTTTTTCAACTTTTTATCATTCTATTTTTTATTCATACCAAATAAATCATTAAAATGGATAAGGTTTTTTATATATTGTACCTTGAACTATTGGTTTCAGTTTTCTATTGTCTCAAACATTGTTGCCAGCCCGAGATAAGTGTTGGTAGTCGGTACTAGAGTAGGACCCAATAGATCACAAATTTACCAACGGTTTGGGACACTCAATCGGTATATACAACTCATACAAGGTCGTGATGGACACCCTTTCCAGCCCCAGGGATGCGACACGAACATCACATCTTCAAATGAAGGAGAATGCGACATCCTAATACCAACCAGGTAAAGAGTGTGATATGGAATTATTAAGTGGCTGCTAGTTTTTCGTCCCTTAAAATAGATTCTTGCTCCGCCTCCGCGGTCCTGCCGCCACCGCCCTTACATCAACCCCGCCAGTGCTTCCACCACAACCAGCACCACGACAAAACTGCCGCCGCCACCATCAAAATCACGCCACCATTCTGAAATGGGGTAGTCGAGTGATAATATGGATGATTTGTTGACGTTTGAGTTCAAATCTTGACGATTATAGAGGGTAACCCAGTTGGCTTTGTGAGTGATAGCACCATAACCCAATAGGTACATTGGTGTTCTTAACACCAAATGTTTGGTGTTAGACTTCAGTGAAACTTGTTTCTTTGCCTAAATTGCTTTTTTCGAGTAGTTGGTGCTGTTTTTATTGATCAAATGGGTTGGAATAAAGATATGTGGATGACGATTGTCTGATATGCTGTGATGTTTGATCTAAGTGAAGTATTGTTTAACATTGAATGCTAATTAGTAGTTTAGAGTATAGGCATTAGTAAAAGGGGGTATTTTATTTTATTTTTTCACAATGGATGGTGATTGTTTTATATACTNAGATATGTGGATGACGATTGTCTGATATGCTGTGCTGTTTGATCTAAGTGAAGTATTGTTTAACATTGAATGCTAATTAGTAGTTTAGAGTATAGGCATTAGCAAAAGGGGGTATTTTATTTTATTTTTTCACAATGGATGGTGATTGTTTTATATACTTTTAGCATTTGATGTTTTAGCTCAGTGAATTTGGCTTGCTTGCTTTGATTGTTTTTTATTTTTTGAACAGAGCTTNCTTTTAGCATTTGATGTTTTAGCTCAGTGAATTTGGCTTGCTTGCTTTGATTGTTTTTTATTTTTTGAACAGAGCTTTGACTGATTCAGGGTGTTGTATTTTTAGTCAAAGAAAAGAAAAATGAAATGTGGGTGGTGATTGTGCGAATATAAAATTCCCAGGAAAAGACTTGTTGGATGAGAATCATGCCTATTAAATTAGCTGCTGCTGCATAATGGTTGAATTATCTTCAATTGAATATGCCCATCCTCAGGTCATACCTGCACTGAAATTTGTATAGTTTATACCCCAAGCTGATGTTAGCAACGAACGTGATCCCTCTCTACTTGGGCCACCAATCAGTGTCATGCTGGTATGGAGAGAGAAAGAGAGATTTTCTTGTAGTCAACGGGGAACCTACAAGCAGAATTGGAGAAAAGATATGGAGAAAGCCAGAGCAGACCAATTCCAATCTCATCAGAACCTTTCCATTCATCCCATTTATGTTCTTTCCTTCATCCTCACCATATATGGGGTTCTTGTTGTTCTTCCTCACCCTTTCCTTATCTAGTGCTCTTGTCTTTGGTCTTCCTTTGTCAGAGTTCGTTTATCCAAACTTCACTGCTTCCAATCTCCGATTCATTGACACCACCGGGACTTTCTTATTTTCTCCGAATGGAACATTCAAAGCAGCTATGTTCAATCCAGGTACTGAACAAACCAACTATTACTTATGCGTTATACACGTTGCATCCAGCACCATCATGTGGTCTGCTAATCGTGATGCAGCCGCATCACAATCAGGAAAGATGATTCTAACTGTCAACGGTATTAACATCACTGATCAATATGGCAATTTCATATGGTCAACTCCACCATTGAAGGCATCGGTATCTGCACTACAGCTAACTGAGATGGGGAATCTTGTGTTGCTTGATCAACTTAATGGGACTCTTTGGGAGAGCTTCCATTACCCAACAGACACAATTGTGATTGGACAGCACTTGCCTGTTGGGATGGTGATATCCAGCGCTGTATCAGATAGTAACTTGTCAACTGGTGATTACAAGCTTGTAATTACAGCCTCTGATGCTATTTTGCAGTGGCAGGGTCTAACATATTGGAAATTGTCTATGGATTCCAAGGCCTATAGATACTCAAATATAGCAGTGGAATATATGGCAATAAACCAAACTGGTCTTTGTCTGTTTGGGAAAAATGAATCTCGAGCCATAATTCAGGTGACCTTGCTTCCATCTGACTTTCGAATTGCCAAGTTGGATGTCTCTGGCCAGTTCATTGTCAGTAGCTTTTCTGTTGCTGATCAAAAGCAGGAATTTGTGGGGCCAGTTGATGAATGCCGGCTTCCATTCATTTGTGGAAGGGTCAGTTTGTGCACTGATGATATTGCATCAGATACTCCGGTATGTTCTTGTCCATCTAACTTCCATGTTAGTTCACAGTATTCGAACGATTGTGTGCCAAGTGGTGATCTATATTATTTGCCAGTTTCTTGTAATTCAATCAATAATGGCAGTAATTTGAAATCAACATCACTGTCATATTTGGGGCTCGGATATGGTATGGACTACTTTGCCAATGATTTCACCATGCCTATCAAGTATGGTGTTAGTTTATTGGCCTGTCAAGATCTCTGCTCAGCTGATTGTTCTTGCTTGGGTATTTTCCATGAAAATTCATCTGGTTCTTGTTATGTGCTTCTCCATGAATTGGGATCAATTATGTCTTCTACCACAAATGATACTGATCTTTTAGGATTTGTCAAAACTTTAGTAAGAGATTCACCGGCAAATTTTCACAACAGTAATAAATTTAGTGGTCAAACACAGAAGTTTCCTTTAGTTGCTCTGGTGCTGTTGCCCTTCACTGGGTTTTCCCTGTTAGTCGCAGTGGGATTCCTCTTGTGGAGAAGACATAGGCTAACCACAACAGGAAAGGCAAAAGTAGTCAACCAAAACTCCCCTTCTTCGGGGGACCTGGAGGCCTTCTCCATCCCAGGATTGCCTATAAGATTTGAGTATGAGGATCTTGAGGCTGCTACAGATAATTTTACGACTCAGATTGGGTCAGGTGGATTTGGTGCTGTATACAAGGGTGCACTTCCTGATAAATCTCTTGTTGCAGTGAAGAAGATCACTAATGTGGGTGCTCAAGGGAAAAAGGATTTCTGCACAGAAATTGCTATTATTGGAAATGTTAACCATATCAATCTGGTCAAGTTGAAAGGATTTTGCGCTCAAGAGAGACAGAGACTGTTAGTGTATGAGTATATGAATCGTGGTTCTTTAGACCGCACTCTATTTGGTAATGGAGCAGTCTTAGAATGGCAGGAAAGGGTCGAAATAGCTCTTGGCACAGCACGCGGGCTTGCATACTTGCATAGTGGGTGTCAACAAAAGATAATTCATTGTGATGTCAAACCAGAGAATATTCTCCTACATGATAGTTTCCAGGCAAAAATCTCTGATTTTGGGCTCTCAAAGCTTTTAAGTCCCGAACAATCCAGTCTATTCACAACTATGAGAGGCACTCGTGGTTATCTCGCTCCTGAATGGCTTACCAACTCTGCAATCTCAGATAAAACTGATGTTTATAGTTTTGGAATGGTACTGCTTGAGCTTGTGAGTGGAAGGAAAAACTGCTCGCCACGAACACACAGCCATAGCATGGAGGGTGATAATAGTGGTGGCGGCCACTCATCGTCTTCATCAGGAACGGGACTTGTTTATTTCCCTTTATGTGCATTAGAGATGCATGAGCAAGGGCGTTACTTGGAACTAGCTGATCCAAGGCTAGAGGGACGGGTGACTAGCTATGAGGTGGAGAAGTTGGTCTGTGTGGCTTTGTGCTGCGTTCATGAGGAGCCTGCACTGAGGCCAACTATGGTCAGTGTTGTTGGCATGTTGGAAGGAGTGATCCCTTTGACTAAGCCAAGAGCGGAATCTTTGAATTTTTTGCGCTTTTATGGGCGTCGGTGTGCTGAGGCATCCACAATAGAAGAGACCAATGGGCAAAGTGATATTATGTTTTATCAACAAGCAAATACCTCTCCTACATGCTCGAGAAGTGGCTCAAATATTCTGTTATCTTATGTTTCATCACAACAAATTTCAGGCCCGCGATAGGTGTTCAATGGCCCAGGTTTTTAGTATAAGAAATCCGTGTGCTGTGTGTCTACCTGACCATTGCACTCTGTGAGAATTTCCATATATGGCATCTTACCATGAGTTGAAATTGATTAAAAATACTTCGATTCATGTTGGCTGCTAATTTCATACACAGTGAACTGCATGTTATTTGGAGTTCGTCCTGCATTCGATTTTGTTTGAACATCTGATCATCATTGTCCAATTCTTATAACTTCAAGATTGGTTGCCAACATGGTGGTGCTGAGATGGTATGTGCTGGCCGTACAATCAGTTGCCTTAATAAGTCCATTGGGACAATGTCTTCATTGTCATTCTCTATTCCGCCACATTTTTATTCCCTGGTTTTTGTGGCAACGTTATCGTCCTACTCGTATTATTGCAATCCTACTAGACTTGTTACCNATTCCCTGGTTTTTGTGGCAACGTTATCGTCCTACTCGTATTATTGCAATCCTACTAGACTTGTTACCAACAGTTGAGTCTGTCTACTTAACTTCTGTATTTTCCGCAGTAATGAACTCTCAAACTCTTGTAATTGGATTTTCATTATATTTTTCTAGAAATGATTGGAATGCTTCCAATGTTAAAGTTGTCATTTGTTGAATAAATTGTTGGTATCTCAAATCTGTAGTTCAATTGTCAGAAGAAAGGCCACAGCTATTTGAGTTCACAGGCCTGGATATCTGTTACTATTTTTTTCATAACAATCCCTTTCAGTTTTCCTCCTCTTATGATGCATACTTCAATGGGGAGAAAAATTCTGATTGTTTGATTTCAAATAAATGACTAGAGATGNCAGTTTTCCTCCTCTTATGATGCATACTTCAATGGGGAGAAAAATTCTGATTGTTTGATTTCAAATAAATGACTAGAGATGATATTACTGCTCCTCCTTTGTTGTATGGCATAATGCAACCAGCCCACAATTTTGCGCATCCTCTGTGTACAGATGACAGAGTTGTACTTCACTCGATTCTTTCTGTTTTGATACTGTTGCATGTTAATGTAAACGAGGAGTCTTTGACTCACCCGTGTCGTTTAAAACATCTGTCAGTCAATCCCGAGCCATTTGAGACTTTGTCATCAAATCGATCAATATAGTTATGTCATGTTCAACTTTTCTGTCTGACATTTATTGTGTATTGTTTGATAATAGTTTGCAACATCATGACTAACGTGTACCGATGATAAAACCATCTTACACAAATTTATCTCCTATGAGAACCATCATACACAAATTTATCTCCTATGACTTGGTAGGATTTCTGCGATGACTTCCTGGGAATCGTCTTGTAAAGCTTCGCCTTATTTGGCAAACAAAAATCCAAAATAATGAAGACATTAGTCAGGCACCTTTTCAATTGGCTTTATTTTTATTGTCTCCGATGGCCTCATGCCCGCGGTGGTTGTCTGTTTCAGAGAAGAAACATGTTGTATCGAGTGACTAGAATCCTCCAAGGTCAGCTGAACGAGATGCTAAACAAAGCTGCTGGCCGGAGTAGACTCATCTGAGGTCAACTCAACAGGCAGACACACTTGTGTGTCACATAAAAACGAGAAGCTTTTGACACCAACTTAAAATGATATGAGCAAATATGAAACGATATAATTCAATAAACATTTCTGTGTGTATTTAACTCAAGGGTAGAACAAGGATATTTTATTTTTTTACCGTAGGAGCAACTTNTCGAGTGACTAGAATCCTCCAAGGTCAGCTGAACGAGATGCTAAACAAAGCTGCTGGTCGGAGTAGACTCATCTGAGGTCAACTCAACAGGCCGACACACTTGTGTGTCACATAAAAACGAGAAGAATTTGACACCAACTTAAAATGATATGAGCAAATATGAAACGATATAATTCAATAAACATTTCTATTTGTGTATTTAACTCAAGGGTAGAACAAGGATATTTTATTTTTTTACCGTAGGAGCAACTAAAAACTTATTAATAAATTAGAACCATAATATTAATTTTGTTTTTATAAGAATATTTATTCTCAATACATTATATAGATAAGGTTTCATTAAAAAGAATGTCAATTGGAAGCACAACTTATATACCCACAATATGCAAAAAAGAGCAAACAAAAATGGTCACACTAAAAATATCTTATAGTTCTATCTATCTATATTTGTACTACTATGATAATAATAATCTTAATAGAATAATTAATGCCAATAGTATCTTTACATTATTATTGATGATGAACAAAATAGTTTTACACAAGTGTGAATAATAAATGCAAGAAAATTAATAATGGGAGATAGAGAGACACAGACAATTTATAATGGTTCAGTTAGCTTGACCACGTCCACTCTTCAATGGCTTTTGGTTGCCTGATATTTTATTAACTTAAGGGAGTGGGGAGCAGAGAGTACAAGCTTTGAAGGAGAAGAAAGAGTCTTGCTCAAATAAAAAGTGTGATGCCCCCAAGTGTTGGTGGCACGTGCAATTTATAGTAGCCCCCTTAACAGGTTGGGACTACTTTTCAGCAACTAAGTAACTATTTCGGTGGAGCTCACGACTTCCTCTCAACGGGTGAAGTGGTTGAGAACCGTTTCCTTCTGCAGTGCAGGTAAGGCCCCCACACTCTTCCTCTTGTTGACGTAGCCGAACTGATGAGACTGGACTTGGACAGTATTGGGCTTAGTGGGTCTTTATAAGATTGGATTCTTCAATTGAATTTTGAGTTTTTCAAATAAATTGGGCCATTTTGGGCTTGACCCATCATTTTCCCCCCAATGCCTCATGTCTAAGGAAAGTTGGAGAAGGGTGCATTAGTTTACTCCTTGAGTTATAAGTGGTGGAGACTTCTTCTGCTAGATGACAGTTTTCCCTCCACAATGCATTTTTGATTTGCATGTCTCAAGCTCTTTCCACTTTTGCTAGGTTTTTTAAGAGAGCCCATAATTTTCAATTTGGACTTTTCCCTCTTTTAAAAACCCTAGGTTATAAATATGATCTTCTCCTATCCATTTCATTCACTTTAAGATTAAACATCCATCTCTTGAAAAACTTGAGAGCCAATTCTTGTGAACTTGGTTCTTTCCATTCCATTGAGATTTGAGAGAAGGGAGATAAGGTTGAAGTTTTTCAAGATTATTTTGTTGGTATTTCTTAGGTGGAGTTTTTGAAGTGGGTATTGGAGATTTGAAGGAGGTGGGATAGAAAAACTCCATTAGTGTCATGAGGAATGGTGAGATTGGGGCTGAGAGAGGTGGTCTTGGGGCCCTTGGAGTTGCAAGAATTGAAGGAGGAGGAGGAGGAGGAGAAAACCCCCGATAAGCCGTTGCTGCATGCACGCCACAGCAGCCTGCACAAGCGCCTTCAGGCGCTGCTTTGGGTGCTGGTTCAGGCGTCTCTCATGCAGGTTNGAAGGAGGTGGGATAGAAAAACTCCATTAGTGTCATGAGGAATGGTGAGATTGGGGCTGAGAGAGGTGGTCTTGGGGCCCTTGGAGTTGCAAGAATTGAAGGAGGAGGAGGAGGAGGAGAAAACCCCCGATAAGCCGTTGCTGCATGCACGCCACAGCAGCCTGCACAAGCGCCTTCAGGCGCTGCTTTGGGTGCTGGTTCAGGCGTCTCTCATGCAGGTTTTGGTGCTTTTGGCAAGGCTTTCAAGTTGGGTGTGCATGCAGGAACAAAAGTGGACTCTATAGGCGGAATGGGCAGCAAAAAGAAGGCGGTTCTGGGCAGTTCTTGTAAAATCCGGTAAATTTAAACTTTTGAAAATAAGGGTAAAACGGTAATTTTGTGGTTATAGTACGGGTCGAAAACCTAAATTTTTTTGGAACTCGGATGAAGAAACGGACTTCACCGTTGGATTCATCTCGCGAAATTTAGTTACCCTATCAAATTTCATCGAATTTCAAGATAGTTGAATTTTTTGCGTTTTTCGAGGTGATTGAGTCTCGGGTGACCCAAAAAATGGGATTTTGGCAAAAATTTTAAAAGTTGAGAAATAATTTAAGGTAATTTAAAATACAAATATTTTAAACTTAAACCGGGACAAAATTTAATCGATTCGAGATTAAAATGGATTAGGAAAGAATGGGCTGTGTCGCGCATTATAAGCCAAGGATTTTGGGACTATAAAAAGGGCAAGAAATCAAACTTTTTCCCCATTATTGTCGGCTGGTCTTCACGTTAAAAGAAAAGAGAGAGCAAGAGAGGGAAAAAGAAGAGAAACTCACATTCTCTCTACGATCTACGGCGCTACGGTGCTCGAATCGACATAAGCCAAGAACTAAAGTTGCTCTTCTTATCGAGAGCTACGCGTCTATACCAAAAACAAAGATTTTCACCGAAGATATAAAGGCAAATTTTTTAGAAATCAAGAACTTGGGGCTTGTTTTGGTGTTTTTGAAGTATCCACACTTCAAAGAGGTAGGGGTTTTCCTACTTTGGTTCATTTCCTACCTATAGTGTATGTGAAATGTGTAGGTTATTAAAGAGTATATATATATCACTCACCTATGCATGTGAAATAAATAAAATGGGAATGAAAGAAGGTGTAGAAATGACTTAGGTCAATTTCTAGTTGTATGTGATATGTGAAAATCACTTGTGAAATCCCCTGAAAATTGAATATATTAATAGCATGAGTTATGTATAACATGTGTGTTGTGAATTGTGATTAAATAGCAAATGTTATTTTATGCCTTGAGGAAGTAGGTGTGGAATGGGTTTGATTCAAGTCCTATTTTGTTTTACTATGTGGAAGTACTTGTGTAATTTCTTGGATGGAAGCTATGTGTGCTTTAATATGTGGAAAAATGAGTGTGTTTAACTTATACATCAGTGTGTGTGTGTGTTCTTGCTTGTTGGAAACCTAAAGTGAGGGAGATTAAAAAAGAAGGAAGAAAAATCAAGTTTTAGCTCACATTTGATATGTAGAAGCTATTAGTGTAAACTCTTAGAAAATTGGGTTTACATGGATTGTTTTGTGTATTTTAAAATTTTCCTACCATAGTT